GCAGGTCATCGGCAGGCTGAGTCCCAGTTCCTGCCCACGTCCGAGGTCGGCACCACGTGTCCGGGGTGAGAGGAGGTATGCAGGGTGCCGAGGCGGGTTTCCTGAGCAGAAAGAAGCGGCACCAAAGCCACACCGGGCCCCGGACCACCGCCTCATATGAGGCTACCACTGTGGGAAGAGGTCGATCCATACCTACAAAGAGTCCCACCCTCTGACAAACAGGCCAAGTTCCTACAGGGAAAGTACACTGAGATCTCAGGTCAGAGGCAATAATGCAAAAAAAAAAAAAAAGTGCTGAGCCACCTCCAGCCTTGAACTCTCCCTGTGGGACACAGGGCTGGGGGAGCACGAAGGGGCCTGCGAGGAGGCCCGGCCCGGTCAGCCCCCACCCCTGCGCCTAACACACCAGAGCCTGCTTCAGGGGCTGCGCAGACAGAGCCCATACCACGGCTTCGGAAACCCAATAGCCCCAAGCTCTGTGATGAGAACTCTCCACCGCAGCACTGCACTGGGCTTTCCCAGGCCACGGCGCGAGGAGCAGAGCCGATCCCACTGCGCTACAGGCTGAGCCCTGGGCCTGGGTCTCCTTCCTGCCCCCTGCCCATCTGCATGGACACGGTCCTTCAAGGCCTGAGTCCAGACGAGCCCCACAAGGGGTGAGGGTGGCCAGAGAAAGCAGCCAGTGCTGGGAGATGGGGTGAGGGGGAGAGCCCAAAGCAGGGGTGTCCACGCAGCCCAGGAAAAAGCCTTCGAAAAACAGATGACAAGGCCAGGAGGATGGGAAGCAACGAGAACCCTGGAACACGGCTAAGGGAAGGTGAAATGGTGCGGACGCTGGGCCGCGGAGGGCAGTTCCTCCAAAGGTTAAACACGGCGTCACCAAAGACCAAGCAGTTCCCCTCCTCGGCGCGTGCCGGGAGAAACGAGCGCACACGTGCACGCGAAGCTCAGAGCAGCCCACCCACAACGGCCAGAACGTGGAAACTGGCCTCATGTCCACCAGCTGACAACGGGTCAACAGACTGCCGTGAGTCCACGGGTGGGACAGTGTTCAGGCAGAGGCAGGAAAGAAGCACCAACACCCGCTACGTGGTACATTCTGACAACTCTGTGCCCAGCGAGGGAAGCCAGACACAGAGGGCCACGTATGTGACTCCAGGGACTCCAGGGACCCAGAGTAAGGAACTCCCTGGAGGCTGGAAGGAGCCTGGTGACCGCCAGGGGCTGGGGGCTTCAGGGCAGGGGGGCTGCTGAGGCACCTTTTGGTTTAGCCACAAAATAGGCTCTAAAATGGGCTGGTGAGAGCTGCAGGCGTCTGCAAACGCACCGAAAACCACTTCAGGGGCTGACGAGTATGACCGCGGAACGGCGTCTCAGTGACGCCATCGCCAGAGTCCCTGCCGAAGCAGAGATCCGTGCCGTCAGAGGCCACCCAGAGCAAGCAAGACAGCCAGGAACGGACACCAACCAGCCCTCCAGCTTGGGCCTCCGTGGATTCCACCGAGCCCGTGTGACCAAGTGCTGGGACAGGAGCTGGGAGAAGGCGGGAAAGGCAGCCAGTAGAGATGGCCCCACAGGCAGGCAGTACTAGCGGAGGGGACGCGGGGTTCAGGGAGCTTTCAGGGCGGGACGGGAACAAGGGCAAAGAGAGCCAAACTGATGGTGCAGGAGACAGAGGGCCATGTGCCCAAGGCACTGCGTCCTGCAGCATGGGGCCCAGGGGAGGGTCCCACGGACACCTGCTGTTGGAAAGGCCCCAGAGGGTGCAGCCAGCTTACCAGCTCTGCAGGACTCAAGGCACAACCGGTCAGCAGGCCCTGGGGAGACGGCTGCTCAGCCGTTGACCAAGCGAAAAGGGGAAACCAGCTCAGAACTGACACAACTCTGAATACGCCGCAGGACAAAGGCCCCGCTGACCCCCAAGGGCAAGCTGTGCTCTCAGACCTCTGCCACTCAGCTAAGTGCCTTTCCCAAGAAACAGCCTTGCCGCGTTAGGGGGGGACCCAGCTCTGAAACCACAGCAGCAAGAATCCACCTCTGAGTTCATTTCTAGCAACAACATAAAGAACAAAAAGCTAGAAACCTCCCTTGTCAAAAATCCGGCCATCTCAAGCAAAACAAGGAGGTGTGCAGCCCTGGCCACCCCTTTCCAGGAAAATGGGTGGTGACAGCAGGAGTCTAACTGGGGATTATTGCAAAAGAGCCGCAGGGCTCTCAGGAGGCAATCTGGCGGTCGCAGCAAACCTGGAGAAGCCGCCTCTAGGCCCCCAGCCAGGGAGATGCTGTGCGGGTTCAGGAAGGGCCACCAGCAAGGACCGAGGGTCTCGGGGTCAAGCCCAGGAGGCCTGGCCCGGGGTCTGCCAGGGCACAGCCATGCTCACAGTAACACAACACGACAGCCTCCTCTTCCCAGCCTGGGTCCTGAGTGACTGGCGGAGCTTTCCAGAGCGTGTATGACATGTGAGGACATCACCATCCGGACTGCTAAAGCAACGTGCTCGGTTTCCGCTCCTCTCAGGGTGTCCCTACCAACGTGGTGTAAACACTGATAGTCATAACCAAGTAACCCGGAGCTCTTTGGGGTCCTCCACAATTGTTCATACTCCACGGGTAACAGTGTGAGAACCACTGTGGGGCAGCTGTAAGAACCCCCTTGTGGGTAACGTCGCAGGGGAGGAGCAACCAGAGGGCCCTGGGGGAGGACCACTGCACCAGCCACGCGGGGGGACACGAGCCAGGGGCACTGACAAGAAAATAGCAGCCTGCCAGACAAATCTCCTCAGCGTCCCCTGCAGATGGGGGAAGGCTGCAAGACCTCAGAAGCGCGGATGCCATCACCGACCCGCACGCGGCCTTCACAGCACGCCATGCCTGCGTCTCACCCAGACGCCCCTCCCACGATGACGAAGCCGGGCAAGAAAGCATTCCTTCCCAGGCCACCTTCTGAAGACAGTCCCCCCAGCATGGGTGCATGCCGTGCACACACAGTCACCAGGCAGATCTTCTGAAACCTGCCATACACCATGGAAGCAACACCCCTTCACTCAAGACTGCTCTCGCCAGCCAGGCCTCCCTGTCACAAGCACCAACACACGGCTCTCAACCACAGCAGGCGCCCCAGAGCGTGGGGGAGCCTGGCCAGCGCCCACCCCACACCACCGAGGGAGGATGGCCGCTGCCCCCAAGGCTGAGCTCCGCACGCCCAGAAACCTCTGGGTTACTGGCAGATCCTTGTCTACGGACCTTCACATCGAAAGGCGCCCTGCAAAATTACCCTGTGTGCACTGATTACCAAAACAAATGTTCCTTCCAGATGTAAACATGATGCCAAACTCCATACAGCCATCAAGAAAAAAAGAAAATTCAGAGACAACATGTTGGCAAACAAAAGCAAATTAAGTTATCCATTTTAACGTCAACAGAGAGAAGCGTGCATATACAGCTGAAACGCAACAGAAACGCTAGAACTCAGAATCAAAGATTACTGGAAAGAATGTTTGCACAGCAAAATTCTTTTCCCTTTGAGACTCAAAGGCCCCACCATGCTTAATTTTCCTGACATTTCTGAGGCTTTGAAGCCTCAGCGAACGGATCTGAATCATCTGAGCAAAACCATGTTATAGTGGCGTGTTACTGGAAAGCTGAGAATAGAATGCTAAATATACAGACACACACCCATCCAGGGCACTTTTGTAGAAAATGATCAAACGCGGAACTAGATAAAGTTGTCCGAGGGAAACAGGGAAAACAGTTCACCTCCAACGGGGAAGCAGAATACACGGACGCCTGGAAGTTAAAATGAGAAAAAAACCCACAGAAATAGCACCTACTTTGTGTCAAGGAAAGCAAGCCCAGCCCGTACATGACCTTAGCTCGCTGAAACCCTTCACCCATGCCCGCTGCCGGCAAAGGAAGGCTCGGCAGGACGCCAGAACCTTCTCCCGGAATCCAAGTCCTGCCTGTACCACTGGACCAGCCCACGCCCACTGCCCACCTAGCGAGGCCTCCACAGGCTCCATCTGTGCCATCACCCTTTTCTCTTAAACAAGCATGCCACTTGGAGTCGCATTCTGCTGTATTTGGGTTGGCAGTGCGAGGACCAACAGCGAACTAGGTCAGCCTGGGCCTGCCTCGGAGTTCCAGGCGCCCCAGTCCCTGGCTCCCTCGGCCCCCCTCGGCCCGCGGGCAGCCGCCCCCGCTGCCCTGGGCGGCCGGCCGGGTGGGAGGCCCCCAGAGGTAAAGGCCTTGGGCAGTCACATCCCTCTTTGGCCCTGAAAAGCTTGCCGGCATCTTTCTCTTTCATAAACAAGACACAGCCTCCTCCACCGCCGCCCTTGTTTGAAAACTAGACAGATACTAAGTTACAAGGTAAAACCAGGGCGCCAACCCCCGGAGCCCGGGTGAGCCGCACACAGCGGGCCGCACAGCCCAGCGGACGAGGCGGACGAGGCTAGCCCACCGGCCAGGGGCGCGGTCAGAAGCCAGGGGTCAGGGTTCTGGGCTCAGTGTTCAGGGAATACACGAGGGGCCGGGTCGCGGCTTGGGGCCAGTGCACGAGGGTCCTCGTATCAGGATCTGGGGACCTCGGACAGGGATTAAAATCGGAGTTTCGGGCCCTGGTTTCCGGGGCCCGGCTCTGAGGTCGGGGTTCAGCCTATGCAGTCTGGAGGCCAGAGGTGGGGGACCTGGATTCCAGGGTTCGGGGCAGGGTTCAGAGTTCAGGGCACTGGTTCAGGGTCTCAGGATTTGGGGGTACGAGGGTCTGAAGGGCCCAGATTCAGTGTCCACGTCCTGGGGTCTGAGACTCAGGGCTTCAGTCCAGAACCTGGGGCTCTGGGGCTCTGGGGCTCAGGGATGGGGACCAGGACAAGGGTCCTGGGCTCCGGGGGCTCGCGGCCCAGGGCCGGGGCCCAAGTCCGGATCGCGGGGTCCGGGGAGTCCCGGGGGTCCCGGGGCTCGGGGCCGGGCTCGGGGTCGGGGTCCGGTCGCCGGGCACTTACGTCGTCGAACAGCGAGCCCACGTTGGCCGTGACCAGCAGCACCGCGGTGCCCGGGGCGGCCGCCTTCCCCGCCATCGTGGCCTGGGCCGGCGGCGGCCGCTCACGCGGGGCCGGCCGGCCGGGGTCTCCGCGGGCCGCGGCGTCAGCTGCGCCGGGGGGCGGCCCCGGGGCGCATCGCGGGCTCGGCGGGTCGGGCCGGGCCTGGCCGGGGTACGGCCGCGCGCGCTCACTCGCCCTCGCTGCTCCGCGGCCCCGCGTCCGTCGCTCTCCGCCCGCGCCTCACCGCGGCCCGCGCGCAGCCATTAAGATCGCCGCCACTCAAGTTCCCGCAGCCGCTGCCGCCGCCGCCGCCGCCGCTACCGCTGCTGAGGCGAGTCCCGCCCCGAGCCGGGGGGCTGGGCGTGCGCGGGGCGGGGCGGGGCGTGCGCGGGGCGGGGCGGGGCGTGCGCGGGGCGGGGCGTGCGTGGGGTGGGGGCCTAGGGAGGGGCGGGGCCTCGGGCGGGCCGCCGGGGGAGGCCCGGGAGGGGCGGGGCTGCTGGAGGGGGCGGGGCCACTGGGAGCGGGGCAGGGACTGCAGAGAGACCCAGCGACGGGCGGGGCGCGGCCTAGCGGGGGCGGGGCCTGGGAGGGGCGCGGCCTGGCGGGGGCGGGGCCTGGGAGGCGTGCTTCCTGCCCTCCCTTCGGTCAGCGGCCGCCCCGCCCCGCCCCTCCCCGCGCAGAGACAGCGCACTGTCTCCGCCCTCCGCACTCCTGTGACGTCACGGCCCGGCAGCGACCGTCCTCCTTAAAGGGGCCGCGTGCTGACCCGAGCGCTGCCTGAGCAGAGGGGCTCCTAGGGGGTGGTCCTATGGCCCGCGCCTGACCCACGGAAGTGGAAGGCGGTGTCCCGGGACATTTAATTAACTCTCACACAGACCGCGTGGGCCCCCACCCAAGGTGGGGTTCAGAGGGGCGTGGAGGCCTGGGCGGGACAGAGGCGCAGGAGGGGAGGTGGGCGGGGGTCTCGGGGCAAGGGGACGCGAGGCGCGGGCTGGGGACGCGGCTCTCGGGACGGGTCGTGGTCGGGGCGGGGGCCGCGGGAGCCGGGGTCTCAGGGCGGGGTCGCGGGCCTCGGGACGAGGGTCTCGCAAGTGGGGCTCGGGGTCCCAGGTGGATCTCAGAACTGTTATCAGTGAACCGTTTTCAGGCAAAGGCTGTCAACAGGCGCCTGGCCGCGCAGCACGCCTCTGAGCCCCGGTCCCCTGCCCAGGCCAGCGCCGAGAGCTGTGCCCGCGTGGCTGGGACGGGGTGGCCAGAGCCAGGACCAGCGTCCGCCAGGCTGGCCTTCAGCAGCTGTGCGCTCTTTAACCTGCAGGGTCGGTAGGGACAGCGGGCAGCTGGGCCCTTGCCAAGGAAGGCATCCCCTCTGGAGTTAATCAGGGGATCCTGCTTACAGCGACCACCTAGCCTCTCCACCAAAGCCCATTTGACTTAGAAACCACCGTCTAATTCATTCAGCAGGGGTGATCATGCCCACCCAGAATCGGTAAGGTGAAGCCCCAGCCTCCAGTGTGTCTGGACGTGGAGATGGCATCTACAGGGAGGTAATTCAGGTTGCAGGAGGCCATAAGGGTGTGTCCCTTTCCCAATAGAATCAGTGTCTTTATAAGAAGAGGCCCAGAGCACATGCTGTCCCCCACACACCCTCCCACTCCCAACAGAAATCAAAGAAGAGGTCATTTGAATGGACAGAAGGTGGCCGTGGACAAGCCGGGAAGAGAGCGCTTTCACCAGAAACCAGACCCTGTGGGAACTTGATCTCAGACTGTGGGTGTCCAGAACTGCGAGAAATAAATTTCTGTTGTTTAAGACACCTCTTGTGTGCATTCTGTGGCAGCCCAACCAATACAGCATCTCTTGTTGACCTTTTTGCAAAATCAGCACTTGCTAAGGACAGCCTTCATAGAGAGCAAATGAGGTATCACCAACGCCCGGGACCTGCTTCCTGAGAAGTAGCATGGCCTCCTGCCCTGCCCTCGGCTGTGTCTCCCCTCACACCTCTGCACTCCCTGGCCGAGGAAGCTCACCTGCACAAGCATGAGCTTGTTTACTCTGAGACTGTGCCTGAATTAGAGAACACCCAGCCCCGTGCCCCACCCTCGCCCAGCACCCACCCTCCTGGCTTCCCTGTTTGACCCCTCCCGCCATCTCCAAGCCGCCGACAGGCCTTCCCATCCGGTGGATGTGCTGGCCCTTCACCTTCAAGAAGAAGGATTTGCAGCCCAGCAGCATGTGCCCCTTCTCTGCCCAGCCACCCCCTGCAATGTCATGCCATCAGCTCACAAGCATGCTGCAGTGTCTCAGATCCTATGAGGTCCCCCATGTCCTATGCCCCTCCTTACCCTTCCATCTCTGCTGTTTACTGCAAACCTTCTCCTACAAGTGACCAGTCTGCCTCAATTGCCAACAGGCCACTCTTCCAGGCCCTCAGCTGCTGCTTGTGCCCACACCCCAGTGGGGCCATCCTCACCGTTAGCACTGGCTTCCTAATTCAGCAGCCAGTCCCCACCCCTGGCTTCCACCCACCTGACTTACCCTCCAGAAACAGGGTCCGCCCTGGTGACCATGACATTTGCGATCTCGGTCCTCCCTCTGGCTGCCCGTCCCCTCAGCCTCTTTTGCTTGCTCCTCCTGATGCTCCCCCAGGCTCAGTCCTGGTTCCTCCTTCCTTTGTGCATACACTCCCTGCCAATCTCCTCAGACTTTTTCCAGGTGCCTGCAGCTGCACTGGGAAGGGCTATTTCAAGGCCAGCAGACAGCAACAGATTCCACAGTCACTCCTTCCTTCGGAGGCTCACACTCCAAAGTGCCCACTCGCTGATGTATGGAGCCCACGGCCCCCTCAGGCCCTTGGCAGCCTTGTTTGACTCTGTGCCCCAGAGGCGACTTTGCTGGCTTTCTCTGGCCCATCCGGCCTCTCAGATGCTCCTTCCTCCTTCAGACTCCCCCCACCCGGCCCACCCACCCAGTGCCATGCACACCATCACACCAGCTTTCCTTTCCCCTCGGCCGTGGGCTCCGCCTCCCTGCCACTCCGGCGCAGCCAGCCACAGAGAGGTAACAAATCCGTGAATCGGAGCCACGTCAGAGCCACCGCCGTGCCTGGATCCAGGGCTACCTGACTTTCAAAGAGATACTGAACCCTACACCTCCCCTAAGTTAAAAGCCACATTCATAAAATCATGGGTAAAAAGGGGGCTTACTGTTCCTCACATGTCCTTTTTTGCCTTTGGAACATTGTCCCATGTCTGGATGTTTCCTTTGCCAAAAGAGTAATACCATTTTTTAAGTTTTGCGACTTATTATAAGTTTTGCAAAGCCCACTTACCCAGCTTCAGGAGAGGCCTGGTCCCCTGGCATCTGGGTCTGCATCTGCCCCTGCAGTGAGCAGGGCAGGGGAGGGGAGGTGGAGGCGGCCTGAGGCATGACACTGATTCTTCCGTAGAAGCCGGCGGGCTCCGACCCAGCCTGCTTGGCCAGATGTTCTCAGGGCTCCCAGACAGAGTTTGGCCAAGTCTTTTGTTAAACAACAATATGCTGTCAGCTGCTGTTTTTAAAAGAACAGCATGTTAGCCACTGAGACCATATCATGACTTCATTTAAGACAGGAACCGATTTATTTATGGATTCGTATCATCCGATGGTGGAGAGGTTCGCAACTGGGATTCCTTATCCACAAGCATGCTTAGAAGTCCTCCTTCGGCCGCTAGATGGATAGATGCACGGCACTCTGTGGTTGCAGAGTGTGTTCCAATCATGTGGTCCTCCACTTTCAACACTCCTGCCCGGGGTGTGGGGAGGGGTCACCCTTAGTCCGTTGTACACAGCACACTGGGTCCAAGGTCTCACTCAGGCTGATTCTGTGCATAGAGCTCGGCCGGACCCACAGTGAAGGAATCCAGGGCTCCGTCCTCTTGCTGAGGGGCCGGACTCAGTTGCTTTAGCCAGAGGCATATTTGCCGTTAGTAAGTCAACGGCAGCTTGTTACTTCACACTCATCTGGGAAAGGGAGGTTTCTGTCCTTCTGAATTATTTGGATTCTTTCTTCATCAGTCAGCTCTCTCCAGTAACAGCGATCACTTTGCAGGCACCCATTGTGTGTGAGGTGCTTCACAATTGTTATTTCTAGTCCGCATGAGCAGTCATATGAGGTTTGTATCTGTTTTATAGATAAGAAAACCGAGCTTCGGGAGTAAAAAGCTGGCCAGCTCCACACAGCCAGCCCGGGCAGAGCCAGGACGCCAAGCCGCCGCGATCCTCAACAGCACGTGCGGCCTTACCCTCCGTCCACGCGCTCGTTCCTTTACTCATCACTTATCCATTCGGTGAGTCTTTACTGGGCGCCCTCCCTGTGCTGTGCACCACCCCGGACGCCAGGGAAGAGGTGCTAACCGTGCCCAGGAAGCTGAGATCACAGCGGGAGAACCGGCCGGAAATGCACACGGGGCCACTGTAATGAGGCGGCACCGTGCCCGCTTACCGAAAGCCTCCTTAGGAAAGCCGCACGCTCATCGTAGAATATCTGAAGTCTGTGGACCTGCACCAATCGTGGTTAGGAGCCACAACGGCTCATGGTTTCACGGCAAACAAACCACGCACTGTGACTCCTTTGACGGGACCTCTGTTAAGTACCGTTTACACTTTGCTCCTCACCCAGCGGATCAGGCCATACACACGGTCCTGGCTCCTCTGTTTAAAACCCAGCACTCTAATGTAAGTGCTTTCTGACACGACTGAAAACTCTCCCTGGAGGCTTCTAATGCCTGAGTCGCAGACGCCTGACAGACACATCGTGTTGCGAGGTCAGGTTGTTTCCATTTCTGCACATCAATCCAGTGCGTTCAGAAAAGGCGTTCGACAAAATCCAGCAACTTTTTGTGATTAAAAACTCTTGGCAAACTAAAAATAAAGGGGACTTCCTAAATCTCATAAGTGCATCTGTGAAAAATGTGTACAAACACCGTATGAGCGCTGACAGACACCGCTTGTTGCCTGAGTTTCAGGACAAGGCAAGGGTATCCACTCTTCTATCCAACATTGAACTAAAGATCTATCTGTGCAACAAAGTAAGAAAAAGAAAGAAAATGCATACAGATTGGAAAGGAAGAGGTAAAACTCCCTTTGGCTTCAGGCAACATGATCATTGACATAGAAAATCCTAAGGAATCTACAAAAAATACTACCAAATAAATGAATTTACCAAGGTCATGGAATGCAAGTCAATATTCAGAAATCAATTATATTGCTGGATATTAGAAATGAGCATTGGAAAACAAAACTTTAGATCATTTCCATTTACAAGAGCCCCAAAATTAAAATGTTTATGAATAACTATAACAAAGGATGAGAAGACCTCTATGATGAAAACCGCAGAACATGGAGGATTGAAGCTAGAGGAGATCGTGGAAATGGGGAGACGTACTGTGTTCGTGGGTTGAAAGATTCAGTGATGTTACGATGTCAGTTCTCTTCAGTTGAGATTTAGATTTAACGCAATCCCACTCTTTTCAGCTGGCTTCTGTTTTTTGTTTTAGAAATTGACAGGTTCATTCTAAAATATATTTGGAAATGCAAAGTACCTGAACAGCCAAAAGAGTTTTGAAAAAGAGGAACAAAGTTGGGGTCCTCACCCTGCCTGATCTCAAGACTTATAAAGCTATCGTAATCGAGGCAGTGTTTTATTGGTATAAGGATGGGCCTGAGGATCAGAGGAACAGAACGGAGAACCCAAAAGCAGACCCACATTCATGTGGTCCAATGGTTTAGACAAAGATGCCGATTCGATGGGACAGAACTGTCTTGTCAACGAACAGTGCTGGGATCAACTGGAACAAAGCAAACCCTGACTGACCCTTACACACACACACAACACCAAAATTAACAAAAGACGGATCACAGACCCGCACGCAAAAGCTAAAGCAATGATACTTCCCGAGAGTATTGGAGCAGGCACAGGTTTCTCAGAGAGGAGGACACCAAAAGCACTATCCACAAATGACAAAAAAAGGGGGGGGGGGGTAAGTTGCACTTCATCAAGATTTAAAAGCTACGTTTTTTTGGCTCCAAAGTCCCTCCCGAGGATGGAGAGCATATGAGGATACCATGCGGCAATAGGAAGAGCATGGCTCAGTCTCCGAAACTCCACGGTGAGCAAAAGCCAGACACAGAGTGTGTGCCCCCCGATTGCACGCATTCGACGTTGTGCCCCACAGTGACAGGAGCAGGCTGGCGGCCGTCCCCCACAGGCAGGGGAGGACCGAGTGCAAGGGAGCCAGAGGGTGGGTGCGATTTGGCGGGAAATACTCCCCTCTTGATTGTGGAGGAGTTACGTGGTGCATACATTTGTCAAAACTCATGGAATGGCCCGTTCAACACAAATGGATTTCATTGGACAAAAGTGGCACCTTGAGGCTGACCTTCTGAGCCTGGAAAGGAAGTGAATGAATGGTAATGTTTATGGACATCTATTTCTCACGCATGATGACACAAACCCCAAATCCTCTAAACCCACATAAAACCCAAATCCTCTAAAATCAGAAAGTTGGTTTTAAACTCGTTTGTGGGCATGACCTGAACTAAAGTAAGACAAATTAGGGTCCTTGCGTGCTGGCTTATTACGAAAATCCTTATGTGTTGTTTCTGAAACATCGAAACATGTGGATACAGGATTCTCTCCCAGGACCTGCTGTCTGTGACCCATCATACGCAGAAGATGCAGCCTATCGTCTTCCTAAAAATCTAGGGGGGAAATTCTGAATTCTGAATTCTATCTGGTCCCAAGGGTTTCAGGTAAGAGATTGCGGAGCTTTAATTAAAACAATACAT